TTTACTCTCTTCATTATTATTTCTTTTGCACTCAAACACATGTATATCTGTTTCCTCATACCTTCCACATAATATATATTTTGGACTGTTATATATGTGAGGTTGATACTTTAACTTTTGAGCATTACAGGCAGTTCTCCATTAAAAGTCTCATTGCAAAACTTCTTTTAATGTGATCTTCTTTGCTTATGTTATCATTTGTTATCTTACTTGGATGTAATGTTTTAAATGTAGTGATACAGTCAATTTTTTGTGTTTTTTCATCATCCAAGATTTTTTGAAACCTTTTTTGCAGTTTCCAACATTGTCTGTTTCATATTGTATTTATTTTTTTTAAGGCCTGCTTTATAGGGAGCTCTATGGGTATTTCTTCTCATGTTGGAATAAATGATCTGTTTTCAATATTATTGTAATTAATTTTGATCACATATTCCTATTGATGTTAATAATTATTAATGAGCATTTATAAAAATTGTGCAAAATGTAATGTATAAGAGCATGGGCAGAGGAGAGAGAAAAACAAATAAATTAAAATAACAATGATTATAAACAATTATTAATATTAAATCTTATTATCATAAAATAAAGTTTTAAATGTATGCAAGGAAGGGTTTCTTTATTTTATTAACGAAACAATATCACGAGAAAATAATATTATTATAATTAACAATATCAATCAATATCAATCAAAGAACTGTATTGTCAATAAATTCATAAAAAAGTAAATAAAGTTTGTGTCTTCAAGGAGCAGAAAATCGTAATTTTTTTTTTTCGGTCAAACATGAATTAATAAACTTCCCTCTCTTGTTGAAATACAATTTTGTGATTATTTTATATCATAGTAGTATAATTCTGGAAATCCTTTTATTATTCAATACTGAATTTAAAAATTCATGATAAATTATTATATGCTTTTTAATTGACTATAAATAATTAAAAGATACAATATAAATATGTTAAAAAAATTAAATAATTTGATTAATTTGAAAAACATCAAAATCATTATTTAATTTATAAATAAATCATTATAAATTGCAAATTTCACAAGACTAAGAATCGAATTTTTGATATTTTTATTTTTGAAAACTGTTTCAAAACATGTATTGACAAGTTTGAATTTTAACCAATGGGATTGTACCACCAACCAAGGTATCTTTGACTTTCGCAAAAACATTTATTACATAATTTCAAAATACTCCAGGTTTAAATCCTTCCAGCTTACACAAAGTATAAGGTTGAATTCATATTAAGATAATTAATTTTATATGATACTTTTTACCTATCAATCCAAGAAGTAATTTCAACTACTAGTTCTTTTGTAATAATTGATTATGTAATTTTGAAAATATTTCGTTGGTGAAATTGTTGAAGTAATAGATTTTTCGGGAGTCATTAAATATTTTATACAATACAACTTAAGTTATAAAAGTATACTTGAATATATTAAAAAGGAAAAACTATTAATCGTTGCACTAAGCAGGATGGTGGGACTTGAAGAACATTATAAATCAGTAACGTCCGTGATGTACATATTCTTAACTAGCTAAAAAAAGTTTGCCTTAAAAAAGTAATTTTGCTCCTGCACTGTCCAACGCCTACAACGTATTACGGAACTTTATGTATTAAGCAGGATGTGTGACTCTGTGTTACTAAAGAACATAATAAATTTGTAATTCTACTAATTTATAACCATGTCCCAAGAAACGAAAAACAGAAAAGATCGGAGACCTGGATGGATAATTTAATTTATGAAGATGCTTTTCAAAAAGAAAACATCCCATTTTATCGATACTCTGAATTTGAGAATGTAAAATTGATTTCTGCTAATATTTTCAAAGCTAATTTTAAAATTTTTCAAGAAACTATTGCTCTCAAATGTGTTTATTTAAATGATAAATTTACACTGAACAATTTAATAAATGATGTGAGTTAAATAAAATCATTTAATATACATAGTTTGGATCTCCCGTTAATATTTTCAATTTCTCTATTTTAAATTGAAAAGATTAAAAAACATCGAAAATTGGAAATTCATAATAGTATTTTAAAATTCTATGGCATCATTAAAAAAGGTAAAATTAATTAAATATTATGCTTAATATAATATTAATTACTCACTTATTTATTTTATTTATTTAAAATTATTTTTATTTTATAGAGAATACTTATAATCATATGATTATCATCGAATATGTTAATGAAGGATCTCTTCGTCAATATTTGAAAACTAATTTCCAAAAATTGGATTGGAATGCAAAATTAGATCTCGCAAAACAAATCGCAAATGTATTGATGCACTTACATTCTAATAATATCATTCATGGAAGATTGGTAATTATTTTCTTATTAAAAAAGAATTTTCTCAAATGAATAGATTTTAATTTTATATATGTATATTTTTTTATAATTATTTAATTAGAGCTCCAAAAATATTCTTATTCATAATGAGATCATTAAATTAAATATTTTTGGATTGACTAAAATTATATCCGATCCTTTAAGCTACCTTACAAAGAAATATAACCAAATACAACACATAGATCCTAAACATTTGGAGCTCTTCAGCCCGATTGGTAAAAATAAGAGTTCTGATATCTTTAGTCTAGGAATTATTCTTTGGGAGATTTCTGGTGGTAATCATTCTTTTGAAATGGAATCCTTGTCAAATATAGATTTGTTAAACAATATTGTAAAAGGAAAAAGAGAAATGAATTTACCTGGGAGACCTCATAAATACAAGGAATTATATACTGGTATAATTTAAATAATTTATTAAAATATTTTATATTATTTACACAATAATTATTAATGTAATAGTGTTATATATTTGACAGATTGTTGGAAGCACAACGGAAACTCTCGACCAGATATTTCTCAAGTTGTTAAAAATCTTTCTGAGATCATTATCTCCGGCGCGAGCATTGAATTTGAAACGCCACAATCTTATAATGTAACAGATGTTAGATTGAAAAATTTAAATATGTAAGTAGTATTTGTTTTTTTATGTGTATTTAAATATTCTGAACTTTTATTAGAAATTAAATATATAATTTTTTCTTTATTTACAAAGACTAAATGAAGAAACTGAAATTAAAATAGATCCTCCTTTTGTTAATATTACAACTGAACTTATTAAGGATCTGTTTGATATACGCGAAAAACAGGCTTTTAATATGCAACCAATTATAATTAAAAATTATATTAGAGAACACAATAAGAATCCAGTTGAAATTCTATATGAAATGATTCGCCATCCATCTTATTATTGGTTTACGAGCTTAATAGGATTTTTTTACCAGTATGGCATTGGGACTGTTGTTGATTATCAAATGGCTTTTAAATTCTTTAATTTAGCTGCCAATGAAAGAATTGATGCCTCCTCTTCTAATTCTTCACCTTTAAGGAAACTATATAATATCAACAAAGAAATTAGTTCCATCTCTCTTGCAGATATGTATTTCGATGGTCTAGGTGTTGAAAAGAATGCAAAAAAAGCTTTTCAGATATATTCTAAAGTTGCAGATGAAGGATCTCTTAAAGCTTTGAATGCCGTAGCATATTGTTATGATAATGGGTTTGGTGTTGAAAAAAATGAGCAGAAAGCATTTGAATTATATTTAAAATCAGCTGAAAAGGGACACCCTGCACAATTTAATGTTGGTAGTTGTTATAGATACGGAACAGGAATAGCAAAAGACGAAACTAAAGGGTTCCAATGGTATATAAAATCAGCTCTTGCAGGGAATGCTAGTGCAATGTGCAGTGTCGGGTATAGTTATGACAATGTTATAGGCGTGGGTAAAGATGAAAAAGAAGCATTTAAATGGTATCTGAAGGCTGCTGAAAAAGATTATAGTACGGCTCAATATAATTTAGGATGTTGTTATAAATATGGCGAAGGAATTGATAGGGATTATAAGAAAGCGTTTGAATGGTTTAAAAAAGCTGCAGAAAACGATTATGCTGAAAGCCAATACTGGCTTGGAAAATCATTTTATGAAGGATTTGGAACTAAGAAAGATATTGTGAATGCTTTCTACTGGTTAAATAAAGCAAAGGAAAATGGGAATACAGACGCTAATGAATTATTAGAAGAAATAATCAGTATCATGTAGTCAAAATAAACAAATTTTTAATTAAATATTTTTATTACTGTATGACATTATTTTTATTAATTAAAATTTTTTGCAAAGTATTTTTCGAATGCATTGGATCCTTGTATAATTTTGTAGCCAAGAACAAGGCCTTTCTTTCTTTATTAGAAAAATTTTAATCAAAAAATCGTGAGCAAAAACGAAAAAGCATAAAAAAAAAATGAAAATTTCTGGAGATTTTCACGTTTTTTCGACGATTTTCGATTAACATATTTCTAATGTAGAAAGAAAGGCCTTGTTCTTGGCTACAAAATTATGTGTTTCATCTCGGTAGCATTGACATTCGCGGAATTATTTGCGTTTAAAATCGAACATCCGTGAAAAACTTCTGCCATAAATTTTCTGTAATTCTGGAAGAATTATGACAGAAATTTTCACGGACGTCGGCTTAAACGCGAATAACAATACTACGGGAATGATACACGTATCATTTTGTAGCCAAGAACTAGGCCCTTCTTTCTATCTTAGGAATATCTTAGTCTTTACGCTTCGCAAATCGCGAGCGAAATCAAAAGATGTAAAAAAAATACTCAAATATCAAAGATTAGAGATTCAGACCCCACTTATCTATATTGTATAACATTATAATTTATGTAAATATATCTATATTACATTACACCAGTCATATTTTAGTGGCAGGTGGCTCTAGAAAAAAAAATACTCGCTAGTTTATTTTTAACATGTATTAACATTTATTAACACTTATTAACATGAGTATGAATTTATAAATTTCTGATGTAAAATTCATAATAAAAAAATAATAATAAAAAAAAAACTTATTAAATCAATATTTTCACATTTATTTAAATTCTTAAATTCTTTAAACCTTTGGGAATACAGATTACATTAAATCAAACACAATAATTTTTTTTGCCTTTCTTTACTTTCGAAACTACCAAACCTATACATTCTAAGCGCATCTTTCCATACTGAATTTTTTTTTCTTTTGGCATATTTTAAATATTTTTGCTCATAAAATTTCGCAAATTCCTGTGCTGTCATCCTGTTTATCCCCTTTATTCCCTTTAACCCATTTAGAACTTTACTATCAACCTCGATCATCATATCTTGATTAACTTGTCTATCTAAAAATGCAATTTCTTTTAATGAATCTTTTTCAATATCCATTAAACGATTTTCCGCGTCATCTAAATTATATAATTTCATATCTATTGAACTTTTATCATCATTATCTTCCGTTTCATCTAATTCCATATTTTCATCAATGTAACATATCGGATCATTCTTGATGGGTTCAAATATATGAACTTGCTTTTGTTCATTGAATCTTAATTTTTTATTAAAACGGGTTTTTCGCTTAATATTAATCATATTATTTGAATAAATATTAATTTATTATGTGAATTAATATATTGTTAATATTAATTTAATTTAAAATCAAATTAAATAAAAATTTTTAGAAATACTAGAAATTCAAATTATATATTACCCGTTCTACTCGAGATGATTTCAATATTGGAATAGGTTCCAGAATTTCATTTATTATTTTAAATTGAGAACTTTCTCCTCTAATTAAACTTTTAATTAACTAAATAAAAGATAAATTTGCAAAAAATGATTTATCAAAGATTTTAAATTTTATATATAAAAAAATCAATAAAACAAAAATTCCATACCTTCCTTTCCTTGAGAAGTCTCATCCAGGTTGAAAAAACAGATAATTTTATGTTATATATTCTAATATTTGACGCTTTCATCTTATTTTCCTTTATTTTCTTAACATTTTTTTGCCAGATTATGAAATACTTTTTAATCAAATAAGTTTGACGTACATCTGGTTTAGGAAATGCACCAGGAATATTTAAAGGTTGAAATATTACAGTTTCAGAAGACGACGGCGAATGTGACTTGGTTACATCAGTTATAGGCATAATAAATTTCTATATTGATAATTTTTTATATTTGAAATAAAGAATATAAAGTATTATTAAAATCTATATAACTGAATTGACTAAAAAAGACTCAAGAAAATTCCTACGCGTTAGCATCCCATTCTATTTAAGCATTAATTTTAAAAAAGATTTTTCCTTTAAATTGAACGCTTATTGTCATTTATAAAATTTTTTTTTTTAAAATAAACAAAAGAAAGTATTTGCCTCACTTGATAAATCCTTCTGACCAGATCCCCGAGTTTTTGTAATTTATTAATACTCGGCACTATAGGATTATGCCGATGATCAGTTCGTCTTGGGCGTCGGTTTACCCGAGGCATTGCGATATGATACTTTTTCTGTTAAAAGCTTGAAATCATAGAACGATAAAGATGATTGTAAAATCTAATAACGGTGCAAGATAATGTAAATCTTTGTAGTTATTCTCTATTTATATATATATTTTTTTTTTGCTCAACCAATAAAATCAATACAAAATAGAACAAAATACAGAAATTCTAACTTCTGAAAGAATCTAAAAGTTGGTTACCGATCATAAAATCATATAACTGTACAATATAAAGACAATTTAAATCATAAAATGTCTAATAAAGGACGTGGGGGTAAACGACGTGGCTTTAGAGGTGGACCTCCCGGATTTGGATCAAGAAACTTTACAAGTGAATTGCAAGCGATTTTACAGCAAACTCTTTCAAATGATCATTCAAAGGTAAAATTATTTCTTTAATAACTCTTCACAGGAAATATATAGAATTAAATTATTTAGACTTGATAGGGTATAGAATTACAAGACCCAGAAGAACCTACAGAAGATGAACAACTTACGAATAATGCATTATGTGCATACAAAGCAACACTCAAAGATTCTGCTTTCTTCATATCAACACCGGAACCACCAGTCGGTTTGTAAATATGGACAATGGAAATTTTATTAGTCTTGGTTATTGTTTAATAAAAATTGATAGATAAAATTGGTTGATAGAAATTCAACGTTATTCTGATCAATTCAAAAAGAAGAAAATGCAGCATTCTTTGCGAGATGTCAAAACAGGTATTTCAATAGAAGAGATCAAAATATTAAGGATTATTAATATAATAAATCAATATTAAGAATTTAAAGAAATAAAATTATTAAAATTATTAAAATTTATTAAATTTATAGATTTATCATTCTTTCCATATGAACTTCATTGTGTTAAGGATGAGTCAATAATAGCTACATTTTCAATGACAGGTAACGATTTTTTTATAATTTTAATTTTTGGAGATTTTTATTTTTTATTTTTTTCTTATTTTAAAAACTATTGATTATAGGTAATCCGAGAACTGTACAATTTGATTTGGATGAAGCATTTGGGAATCTTATGGCTCAAGAGGATAAAGAACAAACCAATAAAGTTGATGTATGTTCTAAATAACATTTTTGATTGAACTTATACAAATTAAATTAATTAATTAATTAATTAAATTAAATTAATTAATTAATTATTAATTTATTAATTTAATTTATTAATTTATTAATTTATTAATTTATTAATTTATTTATTTATTTACTCATTTTTCACGTGTTTCTTTCTATAATTAGACAGGGACAGAGAATGAAATTGATAAATATTTAGAGATGGATCAATTTCTTCAAGAAGAAGATGAATATGCTGATGCTACAGATTATGTAGAAAATTATTTTGATAATGGTGAAGGAGACGAATTAGATGAAGATGGAGGTAAATATTATATAAATTTTAAAAATTTTAAAAATTTTTAAGCGATAATTTATTTTTACTTACTTATTTTTTATAATAATATATCAGGAGGTGGTGGCGAGGCTTATTTTGACTAATAAACTTTATTCAAGATTGAAAAATATGTCATTAGAATAATTTTTTGAATAAATTTTTTTTTTAGAGTAAATATATTAGAAATTATTTTATATTTAAATTTATTTATTAATTTGTAATTATTTAGATAGAAGATTTATATAGTTAATAAAAAATTAATTGAATAAAGACAATGATAAATATTATTGATTGATTTGTATCTTAATTCTCTCTTTAATAATTTTAATTAATAATTTCATGATTATCTGGTCTGGTATGGTTAACCTGACCTTTTGACTTGTTACACACGTTTTAATATAATATCAAATTAATGTAAAATATTTGAAAATCTGACGTTTTTCTATTTTGTTGTTGGCAAATGTTCACACGTTCACATGTTGACTTCTGATACATAACTTTAATAACTTTATATAGCATTACACTAAATAATTGTGCTTTTCATCTATACAAATATGGAAATTTATAGAAATTTACAATTTTTCTTTTTCATGCCCCGCGTACAGTTATTCTTTTCCTGCATAATTCTTAGGTCATAAAAAAGCTAAAATTTTCAAATATTTGTGGTTTGACTTTTTCTAAAACTAAATTAAAGTTAAATTGTGAAAATGATTGAACAACTCAAAAACTTTATTCGTCATGGCAAACATGCCAATCAAAAATTAATTGGTCAAGACAAAATGCATTATGATTATGAACCAAAGAATCCCATTAGAATTGACGGTAATCGTATTTATTCAGAAAAAACAAAATTAGATAATGCTACAGCAGTCGCTCAAATAGTAGCTGAAGAAAGGGTACAAAAAAGTAAATTACCAACATATCAAGGATTAGAGAGATATCGTATATTAGAGAAGATGGGAGAGTATGTTGAACTTTTCCTTTTTTTTTTTTTTTTTTTTTTTTTTTTTTAATAAAATCAACCGAGAATTAAATAGAAATAAAAGATCTAATAAATTAATTTTAAAATTTATGATAGATTATATAAATAGATAGATATATATATATATATAAATATATATTTAATTAGAATATTTATTTAATAAATTTGTAGAGGAGCTTTTAGTAATGTTTATAAAGCAATTGATACAGTGACTCAAGAAAAGGTCGCTATTAAAGTTGTACGAAAAAGTGAACTAAATCACTTACAGGTATGAGAAATCATTATTAATATATGAGACATCAGAGAATATACATAAGGGACACCCAAATTAAAGTGTTACCGTTGTCGACTTGAGAGGGTAACGGTGATAGGAAAATCATGCCAAACATCAAAAAATCAAACACACTTCAATCCCATATCGAACACGTTTTCAAAAATAACACTTCAAAACACACTTCAAACACTTCAAACACTGTGGGGGAAATCTTTTATCAGTATCCTTATTCAAATTTATAATAATTCTTTGAATTTCACCTTACAAAATATTTCAAATATTTAAATATTTGTTGTCAGGAAATGCATTTGCATTGTGATATGAAAAATCAGCCTCGTGCTATTGAGGTAGTTCATCGTTCTGAAAAATAAATAAATTGGTTGGGTTTCCATTGTTTTTCAGATTGTTTTGAGGGATGACGTTCGAAAATTTCATTCTTTTTTTTTTCTGCACGTGTCATTAAATTATTCACGTCACGTTTGCTGTTGATAGTTTTAGAATGTCAATTTTCAAACTCTCTGATCACTTTGGTTTTTTTTTTTGTCAGCCAAAATATTATTATATATATTTATATATGTATATTAAATTATTATCGAATGGTCTAATGAACTTTAAATTTTTATTTTCATTTTTTTAGCGTTCAAACGTTCTTAAGGAAGTTCAAATAATGCGCCAATTGAAACACCCTTCAATAGTTTCCCTATTAGGATTTTCCGAATCACCGGATTATTATTTTTTAGTCCTTGAATTAATGGAAGGTGGTGAATTGTTTCATCAAATCGTGAAATTGACTTATTTTTCCGAGCAATTATCAAGACATGTTATTGTTCAAGTTGCTCAAGGAATCAGATATTTACATGAAGAAAAAGGTGTTGTTCATAGGTATATTCAATATGTATATATAATATTATTGGCACGACACATTATTTTTACAACAAAAACTATAAAAAAAAATGATTTATTTCTATTTATTTATTTTGTTGTAATAGAGATATAAAACCCGAAAATATTCTCTTTCAACCAATTCCAATCTTTCCTTCAAAAGAAGAGCGACCTCCACCTGAACCTAATGGTGAATCCAAAGAAGATGAAGGACAGTTCATTCCTGAAGTAGGTGGTGGAGGTATTGGAAAAATCAAAATTGCTGATTTTGGTTTATCAAAAATTGTATGGGACGAACAAACCCGGACACCATGCGGAACCCTTGGATATACCGCTCCAGAAATTATCAAAGATGAAAGATACAGTAAAAGTGTTGACTTATGGGCATTAGGCTGTGTCTTATATACTTGCTTATGTGGATTTCCTCCTTTCTATGATGAAAGTATCCAGGATCTTAGTGATAAGGTTTCTAAGGGACAATATACATTTTTAAGTCCATGGTGGGATAATATATCCTCCTCAGGTAAGATTATATTCCCCTAATAAAAGATTTAAAATATTCAAACTTAAAATGTGAGAATTTGATAAATATGAAATACGAGATTTGGTTTTGATAAATTTTTATTACTTTAATTTAGCTAAAGATTTAATCACGCATCTTTTGATTGTTAACCCTGATAAGCGGTATACGATACAACAATTCTTTGAACATCCATGGGTCAAAGATGAGGTAAAATTATATTTAAATTAAGTTTTAAACTAAGTTTTAAATTAAGTCATAAATTAAGTTTTAAATTAAGTTTAAATTAAGTTTTAAATTAGATATTAATTCATTATTTTTTTTATTCTAAGCCTTTTCAAAGTACAGTAAATAGGTCGGTAATAATTAATCCCAAACCCATTAATTTGGTTAGTAAAGTTGAACCACCTCTTTATGACGAAAGTATTGGAACTCCTGAAGAGAGTGTTCGTCGTAAAGATATAATTTCACCAGGAATTTCGCTTAAAGAGATGTTTGATATTAGTTATGCTGTACATCGTATGGGAGAGGAAAATGCACGAAAAAAGAAAATCAAAGGACTGGAAAAGAGTGGGGGCCTTAATCCATTTAAAAATCATCATAATAATCTTAACGATGATTTTTCCGTTGAAGCAACGAGATCAAATGAACCTATAAAAACGAAAACAGGTTCCATAAGGCAACTTACTCAATTGATTTCTTCTAATAAACAACAACATAAAGAAGGAGTACATAGACGTAAGGGTTTTGATCTGAATTTAGAAGCCGCAACATTATTAAGAAGACGTAAAGCTCTAGTCGAACCCAAAGGCATTTGATTTCGTAAGTAAATAAAATGAGCATAAAATATTTTTAATTATTATATCTGATATAAGCATTTTTCTTATTTTTTTTTTTTTATAGGATATTATTTTAAGATAATACGTTGATCAAATTTTTTTTTATTATATATATATATATTTTTTTTATTTCAACCCTTGTAAAATATACAAATTTTATTTTATAAGTACATTTGTATTAAGGCTTTTCTTTCTTTCATTGCTTCAATAATTCTAAGTAAAAAATGCATTAATTTATTTATATTCACCATGAAAGAATTAAAGGCAATTCATGTGTAATATGACTTTCATAGACTCTATATCATATTTTCTATTCTTTTTTTCTATTCTTTTCTCTATTCTTTTTTTTTCTATACCTTTTTTTTCTATACCTTTGATAAATAAAAATAATATACAAGTATGGAGAGTTTACAATTCTAATGTTTATTTTTAAATAATCAATATGAACAAAGCTTCACATTCTCCTAATCCTTTTTCCTTCTTAATAAATTCTCTTTTAACTCAAAAGACCCTCGGTATAGTTAGTTGTTTTCATTTACAAAATTAAAATTAAAAACTTCCCGCACGTGATTAAATCAAATTTAGTAATCCGAATAAATCGATCATATCTACATTGATTTCCAAATTTAGGTTACCTAAACATAACCACTATTTATTATTCAGAAGGTAATTAAGATCTCGCTCCTATAGATCAGTGGCTAGATCGCCAGTCTCCGGAGTAGGAGTAAGCTGGAGGCCGAGGGTTCAAATCCCTCTGGGAGCGATTTTCTTTTATGTTGAAATTTTCCGTCACCAATTTAACTTAAAACTTCTCGTTTTTAATATCTAAAATTCTGTTGTAAATAAATCACATGATCAAAATAGTTCCAAAATCTGATCAGTGAACGACTAATCGATTCTTCATTTTATATTATTTATTCATGAATAAATTTCATACTGAATAAAAATATACTTTCATTTCTTTCACAATACTTTCCTTTGGTTTAAAAATTCATGAAATTTCTTATATTTATCTTTATATTTTTATATTCATCCACCCTTTTCTTGCAGCCAACCAGTGCTGATTTTCTCAAAAATATTCTAATCTTAAAAAAATCAATCGACACAAAAATCGTCATCTTTACAAAATGAAAAATTACTCTCGGATTAGATCAAGGAAAAGTGGCTTTCAACAGTAATATATTCAACGATATATTCAACGATATATGGAGGAAAGCCCACAAGTGTGAGTAAACCTTTTATGGTTAATCATTCATCCAGAAGTAAAGTAAAGAAGGAGGATTTTAACAAATATGTGTATTATTAGTAATGAACATGCGATATGATGCATATTGCATTTTATATTTATATAATATTTTAAAAAGTGTATACGTTAATTTTTAAATGGAAAAAATGTGAATACAAAAAAAAAAAAAAAAAAAAATTAAAATTACGTAACTCATTGTATAAAACTGTATAAATGACTCATGATTACCAAACTAATTCTAGCGCCCCCTTTTTTTTTTTATTTGATAAATAATATAATTACGTACTATATTTTATTATTACTGTGAACTTTTTTTTTCTGTTCCGACAATTACAGAACAGACAAAGTTGGACAATATCTTTTTTTTAAAAAAATGTCAATGACACCAATTATCGGTTCTTCAACTTCCTCAGAATTTCTAACCACTCTTTCTAATGATTTATCTTGGTTGCTTGAAAACATCGAAGATTGCAACGTAACATTACAAGTTGGTCGTGAACCAAATGTTAGAAATTTCTATGCTCACATAGCATTATTGAGAGCTAGATCTAGTTACTTTCGTGTAGCATTGTCAAAAGAATGGGCAAAGCGTGAAGAAAATGGGTCAATCTTGTTCCGGAAGCCTAATATTAGTCCAGAAGTTTTTGAAGAGATTTTAAAGTAAGCGTTTAACAATTTAACAATTGATTATTATTATTATTTTATTATTATTAATGTTTTTTATTAATATTATTTTAATATTTTTTATTAATATTATTTTTTATTAATATTATTTATTATTATTTTATATTATGTATGTGTCATATTTTATCTATCACATATTCATCTCTATATATATTTATAATTATTTCTAAAGATATATTTATCGAGGAACTGTAGACTTTAGTGAACAAAGTCCACAAAATCTTTTAAATTTCTTAACAGCTGGTGATGAATTAATGTTAGATCAATTTTGTGCTTACATTCAAAATTTTCTTATTGAAAAAAAAGGCGAATGGCTCGAAGAAAACTTAATAGATGTACTTCGTATCACTCAAAGTTGTAATAGTTGTAACAGTTGCACTTTATTACGTGATCATTGTCTGGCTTTAATTGCTGAGAAGCCGGCCTCAATTTTTAGATCTGAAGGATTCGTATCTTTAGACATTGAATTACTTCTTTCATTACTAAAACGGGAAGATTTAGAGATGAATGAAGTGGAAATTTGGAATCATGTTGTCAAATGGGGAATTGCAAATACTCCTCAATTAGATGATAGAGATAAATTAGAGTGGACTTTGGAAGATTATGAGGCTTTAGGTAAAACATTAGCTAAATGTATTGAATTAATTAGATTTTTTGATATTTCTTCATCAGATTATTATGATTATGTTAGACCTTATAAAGATATACTTCCGTTAGATTTAAAAGAAGATATAGTTAGATGTCATTTCAAACCAGGTAGTATTCCAAAATCAGTAGTTCTTCCACCAAGAGATCAAGGAATGAATTTAGATTCTCAAATAATTAAACCAATTCATGCAAGAATTATTTGTGAATGGATAAATGGAAAAGATATATTGGGTCCCACTTATGTTAAAGCCGCATATGATTTCAAAATACTAGTGAGAGGTTCTAGAGATGGATTTGATGCTACAACTTTTCATGCTAGATGTGATAGAAAAGGACCAACAGTCGTTGTGGTGAAAATAGATGGTACAGGAGAAATTTTAGGTGGATATAATGCTGCATTTTGGAGAACGGGTGCAGTATATATTCCATCAGATAGAAGTTTTATATTCTCATTAGGTGATGGAAAAAATTTACAAGAAGTTCAGTTGAGTAGAGTTAGAGATTCAGCATCAGCAATGTATGGACACACATCATATGGACCGCATTTTGGAACTGCAGATTTGAGAATGTATTCACCATTTAATAATAGAGAAAATTGTAGTTGTCAACAAGCAAATTATCGTAAACCAATTACTGAACATGTTAGATTTTCTGCTGAAGAATATGAAGTTTTCCAAATAACTCCAAAGTCAAAATAATTATAATTACAATAAATATTATTATTTAGGAATTATTAAAAAAAATGGTAAAAGGTATTGACAAAATTGAGTATTCATTATTTAAAATTATTTTTTAAGATGTCAAATTTAGTGATAATATTAAATTTTATATAGATTTTAATAATTGTTCTTATTAGATAACAGGGGGGGAATTTACACAAGACAATTAAAGAGCACGAAATAACGACATTTATATTTTTTATTTATTTTTATGGATATTATTAAATTTAATAAATTATTATAAGTTGATGTGTTATTTTATACGTTATTTATACACGTTATTTATTAATTTTGGTTATTTAAAAACATAATTAGATGGCTTGCAAAACAACTTCGAAAATTTTATTCTTACTACTTACGGTTATTTCTTTAGGAGAAATAATTTGATTTTTTTTTTTCAATTTGAATAAAACGGTTTTCATAAATTTTTTTAAGTTTTAATAATTTAAGTTAATCTGCTCTGTTATGGATAATTTTGAACATATAATGATGAAAATTGTATTTTATGTTGTTATGGTTCCAATATAAAATTGAAATATTTTACAGTCAAGTCACTAATTTTAAAATATTATTTTCATTAGGGAAGATTTTAATACAAGAATAAAGTAATGTATTAATAAAAAATTCACATTTGCAAAATTATATTTAAATTTATTTTAATTCTAAAAGATTTGATATAGCACAGATAAAATACCACAAATGTTACGGACAAAAAATAATGAATAATATAAATATTTAAATAAGTAATATTACTATAGCTATTTAAAATTCTAATATTTTTCGAATTTAGATTCATGATAACACTTTGGCTAGTGCAAAATTAATTATAATTAAAATTCATTTATATTAAATTTAAAATAGAAGAAGTTGAATTTGTGACAGTGAAGGTAGTGAAGGTAAGGGATGAATAAATTCTTTTTCTTATGTTTTTAATACATTAACTCATTAATCCATTTTTTCACAACACTTGGACACATAGATGATCTTTGTGCCAACATTTTTCCATCAATTTTAATGATTTAAAGTTGAATTATATTTGTCAGTAGGAGCATAAATTATTTTTAGCAGACATCAAAATTTTTTGAAAGCAAGTTTGGATTCTTTAATTAAGGATGCATTTAAATGGGGTAGTTATTTTAATCTCATATGTAGAAAAAATATTAAAAAAAAATATATTTTGGAGGTAAATATTTTTACATTTTCGAAAATTATTTTTTTTTTGACTTCACTTACGATTTATGTGGCAGGGAGCATCGAAATTTTGTTCACAGACGTTTTTATTTAAACCGGAATATTTAGGCGAATATTGATGCTACAGGGATAAAACATACATAACATTTTATCCTTGAACAGGGTGCTTCTATTCTATCTATCATAGTAATATATTAATAGAAATAGAAAATTGCTTCCTGTCACGTAAATCGTGAACAAATTCAAAAAGAGTAAATTTATGCAAATATTTTTTGAAGATATGTGCCTAAATATTCCTGATGTGTGTAATTACATACTCCAATTGATACATTAAACAGTAAATAATAATGGACAATTGGGTATTGAATAATTTAATCATTCAATGAAAGAAGTAGATTCAAGAAAAAATTTACATTCTATGGATGGAAGGTTAGGAAAAACTGAAGTTATTTATAAAAAGTCCTGAATATTGCACCATTAGTAGCAGATTGTCAAGGACAACCATTTATATGAAAAATTATAACAAATTACATAAGATAAATTCACAATAATTAATATCTTAAATCATTCTTTTGTTCCAATTTTGGGTCCTCTTCATATTTTTCTCAGTAGTAGGGAGCATATATTATATTTTTTTCATTTTGTATTTGAAAAAGAAAAATCTTAAGATGGTGTAAAATTAAAAACAAAATTATTTCTATATTATATGATCAAATTTTATTTTTATTTAAATAAAATAAAAACGAGTTCAAAAAATCCTACTAAAATTTAAAAAGTTTAACAGCTAACAATTAAAACATCGATTTAAATACTACTTTTTATTAACTTTTTGTTGTTGTTAGTTGCATTTTTTTTAAATGCTGTTTTTTTTTAATCTTCTGCTATATATTGGTAAATGGAATTGTATTACTTAAAATTATTTGAAGCATCATTTATTGGCTAAATAAATATATTTGTTAAATTGACACACTTAAGACATCGTGCAACTTTACCAATTTCTGGATGTTGATTTGGGTTTTGTTTCCAACAATCTATTTGTAATTGATTTCATGTTATGCAAATAATTAAATAAATATATGTATATATATATATATAATTATTTTTGGAATATATTATTTAAATAAAAGAACAAACCTTGATAAATATTTATATAATCCTGCGGTGTCCCTGTGACTGGTTCTTCTCTTTTTCCTTTTCCAATTTGAAACAGTTGAAAATTTTGATCACATCCTTCGTATGGAATTTTTCCACTTGAAATTTCCCATAGTAAAACTTCAAGACTATATATATCTGAAGCTTTAGTTCTGCTAAAATTTACTCTATCGAGAAACATTGGATCTGAGTATGCTATTGACCCAGCCCGTTTTAAAAAAGTAATTGAAGGATCAGAGATAAGCTTGGTTAATTCAAAATAACTAATCTTGATAATATTATTATAGACGTTTTTAGTTTATATAAACTAAAAACATCTTATATTAGACTATAATAGTCTCAGGTATGATGTGTAGATCGCAAAACTCAAGTCATTCGAATGATAGGTGAATTGCAAAACTCAAGTCACTCGAATAATGAAACGTTTATAGTCTGCTTATCAGGTGACATGCGATTTGCATTTTCCTTGTCATCCGAGAGTCATCAGGATATGCAGGTGACTTTCTATTTTTCATGTCACTCGAGTGACATGCATTTTGCTTTTTAGGCTGCACTCGAACTGACATATATCAGGTGTTATATAAGTTACATTTGTATCGTTGCTTAAGAGCCGTTGAGACATGCGCCTGTGTGATGTGTATTTTGCTTTTTAGGCCACACTCGAGTGACGTGCATTTTGCTTTTTAGGCCGTACTCAAACTGACATATATCAGGTTGGCAATTTGCATGTGGTCTGATGACAAAAGTTAGCCACATGGGTAAAAAAATATATCTGACGATGCATTCAGTCACGTGTCGTCATTTGTGGGGCTAACTATATATCATATATGTATTATATTTTGAATATCTAAAGATTTGTATTTTAATATAATAAAAAATGACGCGTAAATGTACTTGTCTATTTGGTCATAATCCCAATGAAATTTGTGAAAACACTTGGATAATACCTGAGGAATATAATCATTGAAAAGCTAAAAGAATAGTACCATGTATTAAATGTGGTAAACCATCTATTTCAACTTCTGGTCATTGTCCATCGCATATTAGAGAATATTATGATAAACTTCTATCAAATGTATGAGAAAGAAGTATGAGAAAATAATGGATATCTACTCTGGCATATATCTGAAAACATATGTCGAGATAGTGTATTCTTTCATTTTTTATATATAATATATCTGAAGATTACATTATCCAACTATATACCGAAAACGTGTCATCAAAACGGGTATATAACTCTCATTTTTTTTATAATATATTACTGAACTTATATATCCCAAAAACATACCACAGGAATAGGTAGGTTTCTTCATTTTTTCTTATAATATATTACTGAAGTTACCTACCCAAAAACGTATCACCAAATATACGTGAAAACATATCACGAGATGGGTAGGTTTCTTTCATTTTTCTTATAATATATTACTAAAGTTACCTACTCGACAACGCACCCAAAAATATACTATTAAATATATGCGAAAACATATTACCAAAGGGATAGGTTTCTTCTATTTTTCTTATAATATATTATTGAAGTTACCTATCCTGAGACCACACCCATGTTCCATAAAGTTTCTGCTGTCAGGATAATAGTCTTTTGTTTGATATGTTCTATATTTCTACCTGACCTAATTTCTCGAGCTTTTTCCTATGATAACCTGTCCTTGCCCGATATTTTTTAACATGGGTATCACAAAAGTCATAAGTAGAAAAGGTCAACTTACCACACTCTTTGCAAGGTGTACACATGGAAGTATCCCAATGAACTTTATACCCTTTGGGCTGATAACAACCTCGATTACAAACTTCTCCGGTTCTAAGAATATAGGGACAACGATAAAATACCATAACTATATACTAGTTGATAAAGATATTGATAATTATATTCCGGAATTAATTTTCATTTTAAACTTTTTTCTTGTGAATAATATACCACCAGTTTAATATAGCATAAAAAAACCAATTACCAAAAATAAGCGCACAAAACTTACAAAGCACCAGGTACGGGGGTAGAGAAAGTATAGCTGGGATTCCAACTTGCAATGATTTTATTTCAGGATGTGATAATAGGATAACAAACATACTTCAACAAAGCTTATCTGATAAACAGCCCATATACTTTATACCTAACGATGTGAAAGACGCTTTTGAATATGTAAATAATATACAGACTAAAGATACCTGCCATAATTATTTTCAAAAGTTGCAATTAATTGCAATTCAATATCTAGTTACAATTATTTGCTGTAATGTCATAATTGTGCCATAATACCGTAATTATGCCATAATGTCATAATTATGTCGCAATGCCATAATTATGTCGCAATGCTGTAATTATGTTGTAATAATTTATAATTAATTTCAATATTTTTGTCATGTGTAAAAAATCTTAATTTTTAATATAACACTTAGAAATTATGTTCGCAGATATTTATAAGGTGGAGTTTTTTTAAATAATGCTTATCTTCTCTCAAAATTGTATTTATAAGAACCTTCTCTCCTCAAAATCGGCATCGCAAATGTCTATAAAGGTAAATTTTTGTTATTTATTATTTTATTTTTTAA